GGTCAATTTTCCTGAAATAATTTTATTAGTTATTAAATTAGAGAAAAATAAAAATATGATTGTAGCAGAATTGTTAATAATTCTGGTTAGCAAAGTGATAAAAGGGTTAATATTATAAAAAGAAAGCAAGTTTAAAAAATTAGACATTGCAGTGTCATTATTTGATTGTATCAGATCAATATTATAATCACCTAGTAAGAAAACCGATTTATTTTCAGCATATTATTTTTTGAAGTAGGACAGAGATGATAATTGTAAAATCGTTTATATCCATGCAAGGGTGTTTATAAATGCAACCAACAATAATATTAGATTTTTTTTTTTAATTATCTCAACAAATGTTGATTCTAAAGAATATGGTGTATAAACCATTAAATCATCAATCATTTTGAAAGAGTCCAAAATAAACAAATTTCATATTGAATTGAGCAGCAACTCAAACTTTTTTTTTTTTTTACACAGAAAATAGTTTAAAGCCATAGTTAAACTAGTGAAAATGACTAACTTTTACAATATTCGAAAAGATCTGGAGACAACAATTTAAAAGTAAATAGCAATGTAAATAATAGTATTCAAAAGCTAATAATATCAATAAGTAAGATTATTAGGTATAATAGGAATAACAATAACCAAAATTTAACAGCTATAAAAAGTATAAGCAATAACAATGATGAATTATAATGAAATAACAGTAAAACAAACAGACAACTGCAAAATAATAATTAAAACTTAATTAAACAAACAAAAAACTAATTATAAGTTAAGAGTATATAAACTAATAATATAATGATAAAATAAATAATTATTATATAACAAAATAAATAATCTAATGATAAATTAGTATCTAAAATAAATATAAATAAAAAATTTATATATACACACACATAATAATAGCAAAAAATAAAATTGATTAAAAAAATCTTATCTTTTAAATAAACCTTTTCTTCTGATCTTTTTATCTTTTTTTTTTCTTCTCTCCTCTTGATTTTTTTTTTTTTTTAAGAAAGAGCTTTAGTAAATGGCGTCATTGTATAATTTTTTTTTCAATTAATGTTTTTTGTTTTTGTTTTATTTGTTTTTTAAAACAAGCATTCATTATCAATTGTATGATTTTCCTATAAATTTTACAAGAAGCTTAACAAAAGGATGATTTGAAAATTGTCAATGCATTGCAACGCGCATTAAAAAACATATTTAATATTTCCTTATTTATGTTGAATTTGGCAAGTATTTTATATTGAAATCTGTCTCTTAAAATTACAAGTCAAAAAACTACCAAAATTGACAATAAAAAGTTTTTCATTAAACAATTTCAATTTTAAAATTGACTCATTTAAAATGGTACCACTTTTTTGCAACCTTGACCAATAATTGTTCATTTTAAAAACAAAATAAAATAAGCAATACATGTTTTACGGAATAAATTTAATTAAATACATTCTTGTATGATTAAATAATAATTTCGAGAATATTTGTACCGGATGAAAAGTTTAGCAAATAAATACTGTTAATTAAACTTTCATAAGGTTACGTTGCAATGGCACATTTTTTTGAATAAAATTTGGATGGCATAACATTGACAACTAATCAAAATTCAAATAGTAAATCTTTTTAAAAGCATAACAAACTATATATCAATAGAAAGCTAAACAATAAACTTTTTAATTAAGTTTTTAACATGCATCATTGAACATTAAGAAATGCAAAGTACTTAAAACCATTGTTTTTATAAATAGCAACTAAAATATTAAGTCCAAAATAAAACTCATTTAATGCATAAAAAGAATATTTTTCTTCAAAAGACTTTGTAACTACTTAGCTAAATACTTATACACTTCTACAAGTTAAATTTTACAGTCTTAATGCTGTTTTATTTTAGAACTAAGTTTAAAAAAAGTTTTTTTTTATCAAGGATTACTCAAGATTTTTTTAACTTTGTCAACTTTTTATAATAACACAATATGGCTCTTATTTGTTCTTATTTGTTCGTGATAACTTTTTGTAATAACACAATATGGCTCTTATTTGTTCTTGATTATGTAGAGAATTAATTAAACCTTAAGAACAAACAAATTATGTGTCTAGAGTGAAAATTTATGTACAAAACAAGATAAATTGTGAAACATAATCGAAAGCTGCTACCACGGCTTACAGTCAAAATTTGAAAAAACCAAAAGCTGCTGTAAACGCCTTGCGGTAGTGTTAAATAATACAAAATAATTTTTTTAACAGAATCTTAATAAGGATAATAATCCTTTAATAACAATAAATATAACACAAAATTAGTTTATAGCAATAGACAAGCTTAAAATATCAGAAATATTTTATTCATATTTTTAATGCAAACTTCATGAAATTTAGAAAAAAAACAATAAATATAACACAAAATTAGATTATAGCAATAGACAAGCTTAAAATATCAGAAATATTTTATTCATATTTTTAATGCAAACTTCATGAAATTTAGAAAAAAAAACAATAAATATAACACAAAATTAGTTTATAGCAATAGACAAGCTTAAAATATCAGAAATATTTTATTCATATTTTTAATGCAAACTTCATGAAATTTAGAAAAAAAACAATAAATATAACACAAAATTAGTTTATAGCAATAGACAAGCTTAAAATATCAGAAATATTTTATTCATATTTTTAATGCAAACTTCATGAAATTTAGAAAAAAAACAATAAATATAACACAAAATTAGTTTATAGCAATAGACAAGCTTAAAATATCAGAAATATTTTATTCATATTTTTAATGCAAACTTCATGAAATTTAAAAAAAAAAATACTAAAGAAATTCTACAGTAATTTATGATGAAAAAAAAACTTTTATCTAATAATAAGTAACTAAACAAATTCTTTAGTAATCAATCCTCGGAATTAGGGTCGGCATTCGGCAATGCCGACCTAAAAGTGTTTGAGTTCAGAAAAAAATTGCCGACCTTTTTTCCATGTTTTATAGAAGGACCTTTGTATCAAAGTTTTTTTGGCGACCTGATCCGACCTCTAAAAGATTGGGGTCGGCAAATTATTGCAGACTTTTTTTTTCTTAATTCCGAGGGTAAATTATCTATGATAAAAAAAAAATTTTATGACTTGATTAAAAAAAAAAAAATTTTAGATTTCTTATCGCAATTCTACAATGGCATCATTTATTAAAATTCTTTGGAATTATACGCACTTGAATAAATTATAAGTCTGTAGATTACAGCATACATTTTAAAAACTTTGAGGAACTGTCTAACATGGAGACGGCAAGCTTAAAGAAAACAACAATGTTTGTTTTTCTTTTTTTAATCATTCTCTTTAATATGAACACAACTTGTCTCAGCACTTTGGGATCACTTTAAATATCTCATCAAGTTTTGTTTTAAGAACTTATATGTGTTGGTGAAAAAAATAGCTTTTTCAACCTATTAAATTTTAGATAACTGATTAATAATGCATAAAAAATTACTAAAAAAATATATGCCAACAAAATCAACAATCCAGTTTGAATACTGTGCTTGTGTAAATCATTTTATTTTGTAGTAAAAAAAATGTTTTTAATGTTAGTTATTGCAAAAAGTATGGTAATTATAAATGTTAACAAATAATATCTAGTTTTTTTTTACCCAAAAACTTACAATTTTGTATCCTTATTTTTCAACATTTCTATTTTTAACTGTTCAGATTGTCTGAAGAATTTGAACTTTGTGTTACAGTTTCTCCTACTTAACAATTATGAACAAAATAAAGTAATTTTGAAATCAGCAAATTTTTAGGGTAAAATTTTAAACAATATTGGACCAAGTTGATGATATGGCCAATGAGGCACAACTATTTTCCAAACACAATTACAGTTGCTTTGGAATGAAATGTTTGACTCTAAAATGTCTAAAGTAGTTTAGAACAGAGATAAATCCTCAGAGTCAATACTTTGAGATAAATCCTTGCATGTATGTTAAATCTAAAATAGTACTCTGGCGAATGACTGAATTGGTTCAACCTAAGTTCAGAAATAAATCTTTTGTGCAAAATTTTTAATAATAGAAATAAATAATAGAAAATAAATAATTAAAAATTTTAAATAAATAGCTCAACTTGTAACTTGTAAAATCTCAAATTTAATATTTCAAAAGATCTAAGTAAAATCTCTATGTGTTGGGTAAGATTAATTTAAAAAATTTTTAATTTACTTTTTAGGTATAAACTTTATAAGAAATTTTAAAACTAATTTAAAAAAAGTCCTTACAACCAGTATGTAACCTAGTATTATTAAAAAATACATTTTTTAAATTATTTTCACAATTATAATAACTATCATTAATCATTATTTAACGTAATTATTCATAATTATTTAATTTGCTCTGGGCAAGATTTCATGTCAGGGCCATTGTTTTTAATTGTTTAAAAATAAAAATGAAAAATGTTAGAAAGATGATCAATTTTTATTCTTAATGGGCATTCATGAAAACCATGTATATAAGATGCCATTAATTATTGTTGAAAAAATAGATTGGTTTTTAAGCTTTTTTTAAAAATTTCATTTACACTGTACCCATTATTTGCAACCTATAAACATGGGAATTAACTTTTTTTTTTTAGCAAAAATTGTTTACGTGTCAAAGTAATTGGTTTTTATCCAATATTAATAAATTAGGGATTGGTTTTTATTGACACCTGCATATACCACAAGGTTTAAATTGCCAGGAAGAGGGCAAAACAAAAAAGTGACTTATAATGTTCTACAATCAAACAATACTATAACACCTGAACCTGTAAGACTATTTCTGAAAGCTCTACCTTGCAAAAAGACATAAAAAGTGCCAAATCTCACAGACACTCCAGAATGAGAATTAAAAAAACATTTGTGCAAGACAAAATATACAAAATATTTCAAAACAAATTGAAAACTGTTTCATTTTTTAAAATCTTGTAGCAATTGTAGTATGTTGTAATACATATCTTAAAACATTTTATCAAATTGTTAATTACAATATTTAATTTACCTCAGGTAATTCATAGTTCCACAACCCTTCAAAATCAGGTTCAGCAAGTGTATCTTCATTTTCAACAACAACATCTGTATCTTCAATTACACTGGAAAAAACATTTTTATTTAAGTGTATCAATTGCACTGGAAAAAACATTTTTATTTAAGTGTATCAATTACACTGGAAAAAACAAAAAATTTTTTCAAAGTGTAAATCCTAATTTGATAATTGTAATTCATTAATTTATAAAATTTCATTTAAAATATTTTTAAATTGTATTTAGGTAGCATTGCTGACTTCATATCTAATATCTGTTTTATTTCGTATTTTTCTTGGCATATCCTTTCAACAAAAAACAAAAAACTAATTTATTAGTCTTGTTATAACTAAAAATATTTGCATATTCAAAATAGTTTCAAGCAAATCTTGAAACTTCGACATTTTAGTTGTTGTTTCAATTTGTCATTCAATTTTTTTGAAAATATCTAACAACAATATTAAAATGCATTTTGAACAGAAAGATTATTATTGCATATTTGTAATGATCAAGCTCCATTATGGTCAGCAGAACAAACAACAACAACAAAAAAGCTTTTACCGATTCCTCTAATTTACACCTCCTGTGATTATCCTTCACTACTGACCTCTCATAGAAACCATATATACATTCTACAAAGCTAGTATTAGCTAAAATTTCCCCCATCTTTATTTCGCTTACTCTTGAATTTTATTTTCTTACTCTTGAATTTATTTTGTACTTCTATGAAACTTATTTGTCCTTGTAAGGAATATCATTTTTATAGTTGGGCTAGTTCTTGAGGCTCTTTCTTTATTAGACAAGATCCAAAATTGCTTTGTAAATTGGATTGTAATTGTGCTTGGACTAGCTTTAGCTGCTAAGCTTGAACCTCTGCCTCATTCTTGTAAAGTTGCATTTCCTTCTCTTTTCTACAAATATTGTGATTGTTGCTGCTCAAGCAAGTTATCTCCACTAACTCATTCTCTTTCAACTCATCATTTTGCAAAGACGCACATTTTTACAGTATCTGCTGCTTTATGCTCTAAAAACTTTTATTCATTTAGATTTTTTCCATGGACATCAACACACACTTGTTCCATCAATCATAATAATTTGTAAATTCCTTTTACTGCAACAATTCCTTTAAATGCTAAAAAAAAGCTTTAATGCTGAAAAATATTTTATTTATTTAGTTTTTTTCCTCAAACATCAGTGCTTTAGAATTCTCCTGTCTTGTTGTCCTGCCATGTTTCTCTGACTCATCGAATTTACATTGACACATTTAATTTACTTCAAGTCTTCTGACTGATTTCTTTAACTCTCTTCTTTGTTTTCTGTTAAAACCTTCAAGTAAGGTATTTTTTTATTAACTCCTAACAGTTAAATTTCAGTTAACTACAAACAGTTAACTTTCTGTTAACTTCAAGCCAGGTATCTTTTTATTAACCCCTATCAGTTAAATTTCAGTTAACTACAAACAGTTAACTTTCTGTTAACTACGAACTTATTTAATGGCTACTAGCTGTATTATTGAGAGTAAATTTATTTAAAAATAAAAAATCAAGATAAATAAAAAATTTGTATAAAAAAACTTTTAATATAGCAATTTGCTAAAGTACTGATAACACATTAATTTATTTCAAAATGTAATTTTAGGATAGCAAGTAAATTCATTAAAGTTAAAAAAATATATATTTAAATATAACTTTAGAACAGCAAGTATTTTTATTAAAGATTTAATAGTTGATTATTATTTGTAGATATTTTTATAAATTATCTTGACAATTAAAAAGCAAAATATTTTTAAAAAATTTCATTACTACAATTATTTGGTTATATTTTATGTAAAAATACTACAAGTGTCTTGTTATCTTGGATGTAAATGAACTGCAAGTATTTTATTATTTTAAATATGAAAAATACAACAAGTAATATGTTATTTTAAATAAAATAAGCACTTTTTAACTTGGATTCTAGAATACTGCTAACATTCTAAAATTTGAAAAAATTATCAAAATACCTTGAATTAATTCCGTCCTCATCTCTTGTAGAAAGACCAAAAGGAGAAAATTCTGCATCTTCATCTGTTGAAACTCTGCATTGTAGAGAAGGCCTGGTCTAAATAATAATAATTTTTTTAATTTGATGTTTATTAAATTTATTTTCAAAATTCTTTTAGTTGGGAGAACATATATTGATAACTATTTTTTTCAACATTAGGTAGTTTACACAAACTAAAAAATACCACAAAACACAATTTTTTTGAAAGATTTATTTTGCAATTTTACTATCATCCCTCTACTTTTTCAATCAGCATTATTTTTAATGATGAAAAATATTTTAAAATAGTATATTTTTTTATACTCTCATTCTTTATGACGACACTCCTTAAATCAGCTTTAATTTTAGAACAACTCTTTTCTTTAAAGGAGCTTTTAGCGAAAATTACTTAATTTATTATTTTGTTATTAGTTGCAATCCTTTGTACATAGCACCATGTTGTAAATTTTTTTTATTCATTAAAATGCATTCAAGAAGTTCTAACGGTCTTATCACAGAGCATGGCAGAATAGCATTTAACTAGAAATTTCAAGCCTCCCTCCTTACTAATGATGCATATATGAATAGAGCAGACTTCAAACTATGGACCTCCAGTTTTAAAACCAGAACTCCAACCACTACACTGCAGCTGCTTAATAATTTTAATAAGTTTAAAGTCAGTTCAGGTTATCCTGCTGCTGGTAACATGTAACCCAGTACAACCTGTCCTGCTGCCTTGTAGGATACGGGTTTTTAGGCTAAAGATATGAGAAGCCAACTCTGACTTAAAATACCCCGTGCCTTGGGGCTCTTGGTTGAGTAAAGGCTAGAGATGGTGCGTCGAAAAAAATACTCATCTTGGGCAGATGTTAAACATGTCTGGCTACTATCTTGTAGAAAGCCTCCTAGGCAAAAACTCAAGGAGTAAATGTTTATGACTAGGCAATTCATTCTATTATTTTCTAATGAGGGTACAGCTCCAAAACTCAGTTTTATGGTTCTGAGCCCAGCTGGGCTCAGAACCATAAAACTTAGGTTTCTGGAACTCTGTTTTAGCTCTCAGAGAAGCTAATTCCATTAACAGCTGATAAATATCAGAGTATTAACAGTGCATGTTGTGCATGGGTGGTGTCCTTGTTTGTATATGGATGGCATCCCTGTTCTTTTGGTGCGCATTGTCAAGGCCACATTTTGAGCCCTTTATTACAGCTTAGGGTTTATTAATAGAAATGAGGCAATTGCTTCCACTATTAAATAGTGTACTGAGTATCTATGCTTTGAGTCAAGTTCTTTAACAAATTTAAAAATTGATAAAGTATCAAAAACTATGAAACACAAAAAACTTTTCTTCTGTTGAGTCTTATCTCTTGCAAAGTTCACTAGACCTAATTGCTCTTTGTGAGACTAATTTAAGTTCGGCTGTCTCATCTTGTGATCATAGTGTTGATGGTTATCTTCCTTTAATTCATAGAAACTCCTATAGTCACATGCTTGGCCTGGACATTTACATTTCTATAAATTTACCCATTTGTCGGGAAAGTAGGTTTGAATCTATAGAATATTGTTTTATGTACTAAGGTTTAGCACCACTTCACTCTATTGCCTTTCACTTTGTTCTACATCGCTCTCCTTCATCTCAAAACTGCACTCTTCTTAATGTTAATTCTGATCAAATTGACCAAGCCATCTCTCTTTTACCATCAGCCAATAGCATTATTGTTGGTGACTTTACTGCTCATCACACTGAATAGCTTGACCTCAGTGTCAGTGACTCTGCAGGCGTTAAGACCCACAACTTTTGCCTTTCTTAATCTGTAATTCAAATAGTCAACATTCAAACTTGCTTTCCACACAATCCGAATCATTTACCTTCTCTACTCAACTTGTGTCTTGGATTCTGATCCTTATCAGTGCTCTATTTCTCCACATTTACTCTTAGGTGCTTCTGTTCATGGTTTGATCTCTCTAAAACTGTTACCTCATTATTTTTATCATCAGAATTCTTACAACTTATCATCATAACTCTTACAACTACCATAAAGCTGAATGTGACTCTTTTCGTGATTGTCTTCGTGATGACCCTTGGGTACAAATCTTTCGTCTTCCTGCTGACAAATGTGCTTCTTACATAACTTCTTGGATTCAGGCTGGTATGGAATCTTTTATTCCCTCTCGACGATTCCAAGTCAAGCCTCACTCTTCTCCATGATTTTCCTCACATTGTGCAGCAGCAATTTCCAATTGAAACCATTACTTCCATATCTATCAGCAAAACAATTCTCCAGAAAACAGACGTCTATCTACTATTGCTAGAAACCATTGTAAAAAAGTTTTGTATAACGCCAAAGCCCGCTATTCTCAGGTCATGAAATCTCATATTTCATTATAAAAATTAGGCTCTTGTAACATCTGGAGAATCTATAACAGTATCAATAATAAAGGCAAATCTGTTGCACCTCTCTTGTATGGTTCAGATTTTGTCACCTTACCTAAAGACAAAGCTGAATTTTTTGCTAAAAACTTTTCATCAAAAATAAAAAGTTATTAACTTTTTCTTTGAAAATCTTACTTGTCAACTTTGCCTTTCAACATTAGTTTGAGATTTTACCATAATCAACATTAATTTCACTTTTGACAATAATTTGTTACATATGGAACAATGAGTCATTAGATTCAACATTAGTTTGATATTTGACAATAATTTGGTACATGTGGAACAATAAGTAAGTCATTAGTTTCAGAACAGGTATAATTAATAAATAGTTTTGTTAAAGAATTACTTCATTTGCCAGAAATCTAGTATTATAAATATACAAATTTTTTTTATTATATCAAAGTTTGATATAAAAAGTGAATATTTTTGAAAATTTTTTACAAACAATAAGATCTTACTTACAATAGTATCTTCAACATCTGCACCATATTCCACTGACTCACTTCCACTAGACGGAAGGCCTCTAGGTTTTAGGCGCCTGCGAGATACACGCTGAAAAGTAACTTTTTATATCAAAATACATGTAACCAAAACACTATCAATGAAAGTTCAAAATGTCATTAACACAGAAACTACATAAACACTACACTGCGTTCTCCTACATACTGTGCTCATTTTTTTGCACTGCGCTCTCCTGAAATTGTCAGGGTAAATTATGGTTGACTCTAACTTTTTTTTGTTTAATTATTTTTATTGGGTTCATCAAGTGTTTTAAAATAATTTTTAAAATCTAAACACAATATCAAATATGCTTTTTGTAAAAACAGATATTTTTTTACTGTATTCACATCCCCAAGGCCAGAGGGGTCACTACAATTAAGAAAGCTATTCTTTTTTATTATTATTATTGTTGTTACAAATCTCTCACAGCCCTTTAACTCCAAAACAAGAGCCTTGACAAAAAAGGTTGCTGCACAGAGAAACAAGTTCATTTAACTTATAATATAACATATGGAGAAAGATGAGGAGGGGGTGGGGAGGTAATAGTCAGCAGAACATTTCCCTCTAGACTTAAAATCCTCTGTTAAAATATCTTCTTATTTTTCTAAAGTTCCAAAACTTAGGAATAATACTAACAAATGTTTAAGTCTAGGGGATGAATGTTCTTATAAAAAAACTTATCAGGTTTAAAATTGTATATTTTCATAATTTTTTAAAAATTCAAGAAGCAACATGCTTATTGGATACATTACCTAGACAATCCGCCAACATAATTAGGTTTTGTAACAGCAAAAAAAAAATTCTTTTACCTGAATAAAAATTGAAAGTTATTTAAGAGAAAAAATAAGATATTATTGTAATTATAAAACATATACAAAAAAAAATACTAGTACATTAATACTGTAATAATATATAATATATTAATAGTAATAAATATAAACCTATAAATGGTTTGGTTTTGAAAATTTTTTTAAAAGTTTGTTTCTTTTTGAAAAAATTGAAGACATTTTGTCTAAACCATGTTGACAAAAAAAATGTAAGTTTTATATGAATACTTTAAATATTGACTGTAATGGAACCATTGATAGTCTATTTATAGCAACTTTTAATTTTAATTTTATAAATATTTTTACTAATTTGAATAGATGATGTAATTAAAAATAAAAAAAATTTTTATAGATATTTTAATAAAGTAAATTTAAATTTTTGATGTTTAAAGATCAGTTTAGATTTTAAAAATTATTTTTAAACACTTGATAGAAATTATAAGAAATAATCAAAACAAAAAATTCGTTGCCATGCAATCGCATGGCAACTGCATGGGTACTCGGTAATTAAAGAGCAAAGAAAGTATTTGAACATTTGGAAATATATAGACTATGAGAACATCTTGAAACACAGAGACTGTAAACTTTTGAAACACAGAGACTATAAAGTTTTGAAACACCAAATAAAAATTAAATAATTTTTTAACTAATTAAATTAACTAACACATGTTATATTTTTGATTATCTAGAACTACCTGTTGCATTTTGTGTCGAGTTATATGTTTTTCATCAGAAAACTTATTTGCCACCTGAATCTAAATGAATTATAACTGTTACAAACAACAAAAAACCTTTTATTGTACACACTTATCAACAACCTAAAGAGTGGGGAATTGTCAATTGAACAAGCGGAAAAAAACTATTGGAAGGAGATTTAAAAAACTTAACAAACGTGGTTAAAACAAAGGCTAAAGTAGAAAAAAAAAAATAGAAAACTAAATAAAAAACAAAAAGCATAAGAGTAAACATGATAAACATTCCTTTATGTAAATAATGCTAACTTATATTGAGTATAAACTGAAAAGAAATTTTTTCATAACAAAAAAAAAAAATTAAAGTTATAAAAAATTTAAAAACTACCTCTTTTTCTCTCTGCTTTCTTTCAAATGTTCTATTAATGAATATATGGTATTATTAAAACAATAACATAAAAATAAATAAAGTATTGCAACAAAAGTAATTAAACTTTAATAACATAAAGGAACAAAGGAGTCGAATTTTAATTATTTGAGGATGGAACAAAAGGAGTCAATTTTTAATTATCCGAGGAAGGAACAAAGGAGTCAAATTTTAGTAAAAAGTAAACAAAATATGCATTTCAAAGATTTTAAAACATTTAACATAAAAATGAATTCACAATCAGGAGGTACTGATAACCATTGGATCACCATTCAAAGATGTAAGATGGCACTGAGATCAAACAGGGATGAAAGTAGATTGTATCTTATCAACCATATGTGGAGACATATGGTTGATGAGACATAAACAGATACGAAAGTAGATTAACTTCTACATATTCTCCAGGATCCAGACAGACATGTAAACTTTTCTCCTCCTAAATTGAGGCAGGTATGTAAACTTTCATTCCTCTTTAATAATTTTTGAGTTAAGTCTCATAGTTTTCACCTTCTTGTACAGCTGCTATATCTAATCATAATCATTTTTTTTATCTTTTTCAAAAGAACAACTCTCTTGAGAATAAATGCCTATTTATTATTGCAAGAAATCAATGCAAAAAGGGTGCTGCCTAATGGTAAGCTTCATTATTTTTGGTTTATAAAATCTTATATCTTATCTCAGAAGTTAAAACTCTAAAGACTTTTGGAAAACCTTCCATAGAGTCATTAACAAAAGTAGGTGGTCAAACATTCCATCTCTCATTCATGGGACTGATTTTATTAACTTTCCCAAGGATAAGGCAAAACTGTTTGCAAAGAAATTTTCTTCTAATTCGACTCTTGAATCTTACTGCAATACTCTTCCTTCCATTCCAGTTAAACAGCTTAAACAATTGTTGGACATTCAAATCATTACAGCTTCCATTGCTAAAGTCAATGTCAATTAAATTCTTCTACAGCTTGTCATGCAGATAATATTTCTGTCATAGTTTTACAAAATCGTTCTCTAGAACTCTCTTCGATTATCTTTAACTTATTTAATAAGTGCTTGACAGAATCTTATTTCCTGCCTGCTGAAAAATGGTATCCAACTTTTAAAAACTCTGCAAAGCAATCTGACCCCTCCATTAATTGTTTGATCTGTCTTCTCTCTTTTGATAGCAAGGTCTTTAAGTCTTTGATTAACAAATTTCTAACATCCCATCTTGAGTCAAACAACTTACTGTCAGACAATTAATACAGATTTTAATTTTCTTGTTCCACAGCTGACATACTAAATTATGTGACTGAATGATTTTCTCATTCAGTCACAGTATTTTTAGCATTAGATGGAGGCAGCTAGGCCTATTGCACTTGACATATCTAAAACTTTCAATAAAGTTTTGACATGCTGGTCTTCTACATAAGTTTGCTTCATATGGTGTATCTGGGAAAGTTTTTAAGATTCTTAAATCATTTCTTTTTAACAGCATTATTCTTGGTGTAATAAACCCAACAGTTTAAATTAATGGTCTCAAAATAAATATAGTTAATTTTTTTTTTTTTAAACATCTTCGCTTTCAACAAGGCTGCAAGCAACCACTAATTAGAGCAGTACCAATTATAGTATTTGTAGAAAAGAAAAAGAGAAGCAATATTATGACGATGTGATAATGGTTAAAGGTTGGATGCAAGAGCAGGTCCAACTATGTTTACAATGTGTTTTTGCACCTTGTCTAAAAGAGAAAGGCATCATTAGAAGATTTGCACCAGATATGACAACAATATTCCATACAAGGCCGGATTTGAGATTTATAGAGATAGAGAATAGAATCCAGAGTAAGAAAGTGTTGAGCTCGATAAAGAGATGCAACTATAGCATGTGCTAATTTTGTAACGGATTTGATATATGGATTTTATATATGTAAATGGTTGCTAAAAACAGGTGCCATGGACACCCAGTTTCACTTGACTTCTCTGAATTTAATATTTGTTAATTATGAATTTAATATTTATAAAAATGAGTGATATATATATTTCTTTGGCTTCCCTGGCTTCACTTTTCAAAATTAATAAAACTTATATTAATAAATATAATTTATATATGTGAATGGTTGCTGGAAACAGGTGCCACGAGCGCCACTGAATTTAATATTTATTAAGTATTCATAATATATTTCTTTGCTTTCCCTGTCTTCGCTTTTCAAAATTAATAAAACTTATATATGTAAATGACTGCTAAAAACAGGTGCCATGGGTGTCCCTGCATTTACTAGTATGCAAATAATAGTAAATGCGTGGGAAAAAAATCTAAATACATTAAAAAACAATAGCTATTGGACTTTGAAATAATAATACAATACACTACAATATAAACTGTAATTTTTTTTCATCAAATTAACAAAATAATTATTTTAATTGTTTGTCATCAAAGCAATACAATAAAACAGTTTTGGGATTGTGATTTATTATTAGTACAAAAACAATACAATAACTATTATAATTGTTTTTACCACAGCAATGCAATAGCAATAAATATGTTTTTATTACTTCTCTGGTATTAAATTACAATATTATTGTATTGTTTTATTCTATTTAATTTTTACAATTACAATAGTTTGAACCCTAGTCATGAATGGCTTTTGTGTAAGTGTCAAGCTACAAAAATGGGGTTCTATAAAACAATTGCCAAATGTTTATTTTGCTTAGATGTAGTTGCGTAGCAATAAATAAAATAAATATTGAACTTACGACTTGTTATTTTTCTTAACCAAAACATCATCGGGACTTTTTTCGAATGGTTTTTTACGTTCTAAAATTAAGGAACTCTCTTCTTTTTTTTTTCTATTTTGCATTAAAAGTATACTATCGTTTTCCTAAAAAAAAATGCAATTAAATGTTATTGAACAAATAAATACTGCAAGAATATTAACTTTTATAAAGCAATCAATAATATTTTATGCAATATAAAGTAGCAAACATAATCATTTAATCAAAAGTTTGAAAAAAGATATTTTTTGCAATGCACTCCAACAACAGCAAATATTAATTTAAAAAGTTAGCAAGAAATAAAGTACTAATCTAAAAGATCCAAAATAATAACAAACTTGTTTGGTTTAACACCCGCAAATGCTATTTCTTTAAAAGTTTTGCCCTTTTTGGCTAAAAAGTTAAATAACTTATTAAGTCTTACCGTAAACTCAACTTTAAGTGGTACATGTATTTCGTCAACAAAAACATCGAGAAGGTTATGTCAGATACCTTTTGATCAATTACGGTTATTACAGAAAGTGTTTTAGTTATTGTTTTTCTTTTTTTGTTTAGTATTTTATATCAACTAAATTTGCTAAAGTTTTTTACTTTTTTACTGGTATTCTTCGATGACACGCGTGCAATCGCTTGCTAATAATATTATTCTATAATTAAACAACATTTGTTGTTGTTTTTGCTTTTTATATATATAAATATATATATATATATATATATATATGTATATATATATATATATATATATATATATATATATATATATATATATATGTATATATATACATATATATATATATATATAAATATATATATATATATATATATATATATATATATATATATATATAATATATATATATATATATATATATATATATATATATATATATATATATATATATATATATATATATATATATATATATATATATATATATATATATATATATATATATATATATATATGGTCAATTCCGCAGGAGTGATGGTCATAACATTTGACACTCTTTAGAAAAAATGTTATTAAAAATGAACCAAAAATGGAAATGACTTTCCAGAAATGTGAAACACTATCATATAATTTAGTATGCAAAAAGTAACAGCATTAAAATTTTAAACTTTTTTCAAAAATTAACTCATAGCATGACGGTCGTAACGCTTACTTTTTACCACTTTTGAACAAAGCAACTTTTTCAGACTTAATGCAGCGAACAGCATTGTAAAAAAAAAACACAGTTTAGTGTGTGTATTTAGCACATATTAATTTTAGTGTGTGTATTTAGCACATATTGATTCAGCTCTTGGAATTAGGGTAGACTTTCAGCAATGCTGACCTAGAAGTGTATTAGATTGGCATAAAATAGTTGAATTCATTTCTATGTTTTATGGTAAAAATTTTGTACCCAGGGCTCGAATTAAGTGATCGCAAATTGCGATATCTGGAAATACTTCCAGTCATTAAACTTTAGCTTTTGATCTTGAATTATGATATAAATCTTATTGTAAAACTATTATTTTAATTATTATTAAAGATTGTGATTTAAACTTTAATATTTTAATTCATCAGATAAAACTAGAAATATAAAGCACAATAAAGTAGGATATAATTGTTAAAAACAACCGTTTATTACAACAGTCTAAAGGAATTTAGTAGTGATCAAATATTTTAAATAAAGAAATAAAAGAAAATTCAATAAAAAATAAAAGAAATCATTAAATAAGATATAAAATACTTTAATATCTTATTTAAATCTTATTCAATATTTTATTATAAATTAAATGCTCGTAACTCTTTTGCAGAAATGTATAAAAAAATTAAAGGAGTTTATAAATATATAAAAATTGATTTAAACTTTTTATAGTTATTTTAAGACAAAACAAAAAAACTTTAATAACTTATTTATATATTTTTTATTATTATTTTTATTATTAAATAATTAATTTTGAATTGAAAACATTTAAATTTTTAAATGAATAATTCCTTAAACTTTCCCCCTAAACAAAAATCGATATTAATGCTTCATACAATGCACAAATAGCTTTAGCCTAATTTTTTATTGGTTGATTTTTAATACAATATTTCATACAATGTGCAAATAGCTTTAGCATAGTTTTTTATTGGTTAATTTTTAAATTACCGCACAAATTTTTGGGACTTTTAGTAATAATATTTTTTTTCTTTTTTTTATTTATAATCCCTAAATTACCTGGTATTTAAAAAAATAATAATTAAAAATATGTAAGTTTTGACTGTTATTATTTTTGCAGTAGCAAACTTATTATTTTGTTTTTCATTAATTTTTGCAATATGATAAATTGACCAGTTTATTATTAAAAAAGTGTTCATGATTTTTAATAAACTAAGAATTTAATTACCAGAAATATTTCCAGATATTGAAATTTGTGATTACCTAATTAGAACCTTGGTAGCAAATATTTTTTGTGGACTAAATGCCGACCTCTAACAGATTTAGGTTGGCAAAATATTGCCAACCTAATTTTTTCTAATTTCGAGGGCTGGTTATTATATGCTAAGTTTCAAATAGTGAATAGACGCCAGGTCTGGTCAAATAAAAGTTGGTTGTTTATGTTTTTCAATTGGGAGGAGATGTTATTTTTCCAAGCATTCATTCGAATTGTTATGAAAGGAGAATTAATTTGAAATGTTATGAAAAGAGAGATATAAAGCCACAACTGCAAATAACCATACAAAAAACTTGGGAACAAATGTTTCATCTCAAATGTACTTAAATCTTTTAGACAATTTATAACGTTTTGACTAAATAGTATAAATAAATAGTATTGATTAGCTGGACTAAATAGTATTGATTAGCTAGAAGCATTGAATGTTCTTTTTTACAGGGTGTCGTTGTCTTCTAAAAGGCACTAATTTTTTTTTCATCACTAAATTATTCAAATTTTTAGCTCATCTGATTTCCTTTATTTCTTTATCAAGTGACCTTTTTTTTTTTTTTTTTGTGATAAGCATTTAGATTTTTCTTTTTCAATATTCCTTGAATGAAAGATCTACTGCATTTAAACTTTGTAGCTAAACCAGGTTGTGACTAAGCTGGACTAATGAATAAATGTTGTCAACAATTAATTTTACCTTCTTTTTGTCATTAATTTTTGACAAAACCCTACCCTATTTTATACTTGATAGATCTGAAGACATTCCAGGGATGCAAGAGTATAAAACTAGTCAAATATTTAATAAAACATTTAATTTTTTAATACATTTAAAAACTTTTTTCATAACATATGACAATGTTTTACCAGCTCTTTTTATCTAAAAAAATTCAATTTGAGTCAACATATAAAGTTTTTCATTTTATTGATATTAACACCCAAATATTATTAAAGTTGTGAATATTTATTGCCAACGCCTAAGCACAACATCATAAAATTAAGTAAACTTAGTTTTTGTATTTTTAATTGGCTTACAACAAAATGCCATGAACTTATTTTATGCTTAATAAATATTTCTTTTCTTTTCAAATGTTTTATGACAAGTTTTTGCTTTAAAAATACTTTTAAGGATATATTAATGTTAAAATACACAGTAATTTTAAAATACATAGTAATTTTAAAATATATATTAAGAATCATACTTTACTTAACTGAATGTTTCTTTTTAAGTTGAGCAAAATATTGACTCTACGATCCAAATCTTTCCGACTTTTATTTTCCTCTTCAACATCTTTCTGTCTTACCCTTGACATTGTTTCCTTTAAATACTTCATGGCAACTTCTCTATTTTTTTTTGCAGAGATAATAGCTTGACGGTTTTTTCTTTCTCTTTCTCTGGAAGCTGAAATGTGCTCTCTGTAATAAAGATTTAAAAACATTTTTTATATAATTTAAGAAAAAAAACACTAAAATTTCAGACTATAAAAAAACATTTTTATAAACTGCTTTTTTTATTAAATTTCAAATTTAACAGCTAAAATCTAAAATAACATGAAACTGGTCATACTTTTCCCTTGCTTTCCTCTTTTTATCAACATTAACAGCGTAGGTCATTTCTTTCTTCAACCTACTGTTAGCTTTTTCAATCTTCAAAATTCCAAGCTTCCCTTGGTCAAGGCTGATGTCTTTATCATAAGATAAAAATTTGCCATGCTCAATATATGATTGCGCTATAAAAAACCTGTATCAAAAATTTTATATTTTACATAATTGTAATTTTTGTAATTACCTGCATTTGTAAAACATTTTTGCATTTTTTATAATTAAAACTATAAAAATTATATCTAAACAATCCTGTCAAAAAAATTAAACCAGACTACACATTTAAACAATTAAATAAACTAGTCAGAATTGTGTCAATAAAATCAAAGCAGACAACATAATTAACCAATTTAATAAAATATGGGCAGTTTTATGGTTATTTACTAAAATGCAAGAAGAAACTAATTACAAATTAATTTATGCTACACTTACACCACCATCTAAACTATTAGTTAAATCAAATCAAATATATTCTTAACAAATTTTTTACATCAAGGATGTTTAAAAACAGTAACAAGTTTTTTCCAACTACATTTATGCATTGTAAACGTATTTGGACCTGCTCTATCTGTCAATCTTGAGCCTCTCTCTCATATTGTTGTAAAGTTGCATCTTCTCTTTTCTTTAAAATATAATCATGGTCGCTGCTCAAAGGTGCTATCATTTCTAGTTCCATCAACCAAAATTCATTCTCCCTTGACTCACTTTCTAGCAAAGTCTCATACTTTTACTGTATCTGTCCTAAAAACTTTTATTCATCTAGTTTTTTTGATTTCAAAATCAGAGAAAAATTTGATTAACAAAAATAATGAAACAGACATCAATTGTTTTTGTGAACAAGTTTTTGCTATGTGTTAATGATTTAGAAGTAAAGGCTAATACTTCCTTTGTTAGCAAATGGTACTAAGTTTAAGTCCCACCACAGCCCTGGAAGAATGACACTCTTTTTTCTCTGTGCAGACACCTTTTTAATAAAGGTTCATGTTTAGATAAAAAAAATTTGAGAGTAATATAACCACAATTAAAATAAACTTGATATAGACTTTTTCAACAACTTGTTTCTCCATTAGTAGGTTAATCAGGAAGAATATATATATATATATATATATATATATATAATATATATATATATATATATATATATATATATATATATATATATATATATATATATATATATATATATATTCAAATTTTTGGGCTGAAAATATCTTTTTTAAACATCGGAAGATTTTATATGTGTATGTAAGATGTCATAAATACTATAAAAAAAATTAAGGAAATACACAAACTGTTGTTTATAAAGCTAGAGCCAGCATTAAACCTCTGACCTCTGGGTTCTGAGCCAGAACTTTAATATAAATTATCACTACATAATAACATACTTATATATAATTTTAGGCACAGCTGAGTGTACATGTTTTTTTAACTTTTACCAGTCTTCTTTTTCTTTTTTAAATATGGACATTAATTATGCATATTAAGGGGAAAATTAAAGTTTAGCAATAAAGTTTAACATAACATAAATACACAATATAGACTGTTAAGATAATATATATACACATGTATATGAATTACATTTATATATAAAATGTATATAGGCATTAAATAAATATGTTTATTCATTTACATATATAATACATATATCTATATATCTATTATGTTAACCCATGAATGGGTGTCAGAAACCTATCTTACTTTGTGTTATGTAAACCTGTCTTAATTATATAACCATGGCCGCGATTCCATACCTGAGACAGGTTTCTATAATGACATTTTCTTATTTATATGTAATATTATAGAACAATTAAAGCAATAGTTACAGTGGAGTGTACACACAGTCAATGTAGGTGTACACAAAGTCAATGTAGGTGTACAACACAGTCAATGTAGGTGTACACACAGTCAATGTAGGTACACTCCACTGGGCCTTTAGCTATATCTGCCGATGTATGCACATTCAATGTGTCAATACTTAAATAATTCAGTTGATAAAACAAAAATTAAAAAATAAGGCAATAAAATTAATTAAAAATATAACAATAAAAACTGTATATAACAACATAAAAACAAAAATTTTGATCTTTAAAAATATTTGGTTTTGTTTAGTTTTTTGTGCATTTAAAAAAAAAATTAAATTTATGTCTTACTCGGCATCTTTAACTCTTTGCTGAAGTTCTTTTTCATTATCTTCTTCTTTTTTTATTTGTAAGGTTAATAAATCCATTTCATTTTTCAACTTATTCAATATTGGTCTAAATAAATTATAAGTATTGAAAATAAAAATTTCAAGAATTAAAATTTTCATTTTCTTTTACATAAACAGATGATCTATTAGTTTTAAATGAATATAATTCCAAATAACCTATAAATTAAAAAAAAATTGACTTACATATCATCACTACTTGTTTCTTTTATAAAAAGCTTTAAATTCTTCATCTCAACTTTCAACATTTTAAGATGGTCTTTTTGAATTTGTAAATCAGCTCTGTAATTATTATTTTAGATTTTGCAATTCAAATTTTATAACTTAATAATTTTTTTAAAAAAAAAGCTTTTAATATATATAAAATTACTTGGCCTATTACCTGCATTTTTGAGCCATATACTCTCGTTGAAGCACTATTTCTCCTAACTGATCAAGATGTTGTTCAAGAACTTGTTGCTGAGATACCTCCTGTGACCATAAAACACAAAGTGTAATCAACAACAACAACAAAAAATTGTTTAAACTTTCATAAATCTTAAATTAAAGTATAAAAATTAAAACTAAAAACAGAAATAAAAACCATTATACAAAAATATTTTTCTGCTTTATTTTCAATAGAAATCATACCTCACAATTTTTTGCAGATACTTGGTTAAATGAATGGTCCTCTTCATCGAACTCAGATTTTTCCATGTCGTCATAACTTCTACAATAATAAAGTTTTTTCATAACATGACAATATTTTACCTGCTCTTTTTATTTGGCTAAACAAGTCAAGTTGAGTTTTTTCAATGTATTGTTATTAGCGCCCAAATATTTTTATAGTTTTAAATATTTAATGCTAACGCAACATCACAAAATTAAGTAACAGCGCAACATCAAAAAATTAAGTAAACTTGGCTTTTGCGTTTTTAATTGGCTTACAACAAAATGTCATTAAATTAATTTATGAATATGTTTGATAAATATTTCTTTTTTTTTGCAAATTTTTTATGATAAGTTTTTACTTGAAAACTTTTTTTTCTCACTTTTTGTTTAAACTTAAACTAAAGAAATGGGTTTGTTTTTTTTTCTTTACTTTTTAATTTATTTAATGTACTTTTTTGATTTAACAATTAAATGGAATTTAAAGAAACTTGATATAAAGAAAAAGAATTGAAATTGTAAAAAAGATTGGTCAAATATTGCTAGAAAAGTTGATGCTATTTGTATCATATCTGAGATTTTTCAGCCAATAAAGTAAGATTATCACAAAAAAGAAATATTTCTTAAACCATCAAATACATCTCTGTTAACCTTTACATATGAACTATGATGTTTAGGCTTCCTACATCAAGTGACCAGCAATAGACGCTGATAAAGGAAAATGAAAAAAAAAACAGAATTTTAAAAAATTGCTGGTCCTTTGTCCTATATCATTTTGACCCTGATTTTTTGACAATTTTTAAAAAATTAGTTTCAGCATAAAAAAAATTTTTTCTTTCAAAGATTTCATACATTTTACATTTACAATGCATAAATGTAAAATAAAATTAACTAAAACAAATATAAGTTAAACTTATAATATTGTTATATACACAATATTTGATACATATACATTCTTTTAATTTGTATTAATTTACCTCCCTGAGGCCAAATAGACAATTACATTCAAGGAGCTTACTATTAATTGTTGTTACCACCCTTTCTCAACTTTATAACTCAAAGCACCAACCTTGATTAACAAAGCTGTTAGGTGGATAAACAAGTTGAGCCCAATACTACCAGGGATGTGGTGGGGATCAAACTTTAAATCTCTTGCTTATGAAATGAGCACTCTACAACTACACCACCACATATATTGAAAATATATACTGTTATATTTAATATAATAACATAAAGTAAATAACTTAAAATAAAATAAAATACCCAGCAATAGAACTCTCTTCATCACTAAAATAATGTTGATCTGATGATAAGGCCTCTTCAACATCTTTATTACTTGTTAATATACCTAATAATGATAAAAAATCATAAAAAAATAAAAAACTTTTCATATTCTTAATAGTATAATGAAACTTTTTTGTTTCATGCAACATAAACATTTTACTTAAATATTTAGGAAAAAAAAATGGTGAGGTGAGGCTGTTTATGAATTAAGTGAGATTCCATACCTATAGTAAAGGCAACTTACCTAGGAAAAGAGAATGTCTTAAATAAAATTTTAATTAATTAGTGCTAAGAGTTAGAGCTTGTGATAATGATAATATTTCTAGTGGTGGTATAACAATAAAAATAAATAAATTTCAAAAGATATTATTAAAACAATGATTAGAGTTTATTAAAATTTAACTTTGTCAATGAATTAAGAAAAAAAATGTGAGCAAATACAAAATTTTAAATTATAAGTTTTGGTTTTGATGAAAAATCCAAAACAATAATAACTGTAGGAATAATAAAAGAATGACATAAGGGTTTTTCTGCTCTGGAGATGTAGCCAGTGCTATCCAGTACTGCTGTTTTTACAAGGAGCTTTGTTTCAGCATTTTCAATTAGAAACATTTTTATAATTGATTTAAACAAATGAGTTTAGATATGAATAGTTAAAATTAAAAAAGATTTTTTTGAGATAAACTCATTTTTATCATACTTTATTGATGTTATTTTTTTATTTACATTATTTTACTTTACATTATTTACTGTTCTTATATTTTGGTAAAGAAGATTAATCCATAAATTAGTTAAAAAGAACTAGCTTTTATGTGTTTATTTTAACTCAAATTAACTATAGTGCTATAAAATGGTTAACTGCAATTTTTTTATTTTCTATAGTTTTTAATCAAAATGGCTTTAACCTCAAACAATCCTGAGAGGGCTCCATGTTTTTTACTTTTATCAAAGTAAAAAACATAGAACCCTTTCAGAATAGCCAGTTTTTTACTTTTATCAAATGACAAATTCAAATTTTTCATTTGATAAAAGTAAATAACTGGCTACCTGTAAGATTAAAGAAAAGACAAATGATAAAGTGATTCCATGCAACATGCAAATAAAAAATTAAAAAGTTTACAATATAAAAAAAGTTTAATACACATTTTGTGCAAATTTTTGATGCAACTTTGGAATAGGGATTGTAATACCGTTTATCGGTTTACCAGTTTACCGGTAAATACCTAAATTTGGATCAAGTTTTTTACCGGAAAATTTTTGTAATTTACCGGTAAATCAAACTTTTTGCTATGTAAGGATTGTTTTAATTTCTAATTGCTGAATATTTTTATCTAATAAAGAAGTTAATATAAATATTAAATAAGTTATTTATTTTCTTTTCAAAAGATTAAAAATTAAAAAATTAAAAGTGTAAAGCATTCTTTTATTTGAACTTAATGCTTGAGTAAAATTAACGACACTAATTTATGTTTAAAAAAATATATAGAAGAATGCCCAAAAAGACTGGCAGTTGCAATAGCATCGAAAACTACTTCTTTTATCAAAAAAGAGACGATTCTCTTGAAGCTGTACTTTCAAGAATGATTACACAAGATGGCATTCGTTTCAATAATTTTTGTACATCTGAAGATTTAAAAATGTTACCAAAAACAAAAGGGTACATAGAGTTACTAAAATCGCCCAAAACCATTCACAAAAAAGTAATGGGTTATGCTGATAAAACAAGGAAGGAAGTTGTAAAGGAAATTTCACAGAATAAGCTCAATAAAAAAGTTTATAGCCTTACCACAGATGAATGGACATCAAATAAAAAAACCCCGGTATATAAATATTATTCTTCATTGAAATGATGGTAATTTTTGGAATCTTGGGTTGAATCCGCACCTGCTGAGGTATGCGCAAAACTAATTGAAAAGAAGCTTAAAGAGTTTAATATAGCTTCATCAAATATTGTGTGGATAACATCAGACGGAGCTGATGTTATGCACACAATATTTAAATAATTAAAACCATCAGTTATTTATCGTGCATTGCATACAAATAGCAATCATAAAAGTACTTTATAATATTAGTTCAACAGATGTACAAGATGTTAATGAACATGGTGGTAATTAAAATTTATGTTAGATGATTTAAGTAACCAAAACACTTTTTTAAGTATTACACTAAAAAACGAATTAATAAGTTGTATTAAAGAAAGAAGATTGATAATTTCAGACGTGTTACACTATACAACAGACCCTAATGATATTATTTCTGTTAAAGACAATTATGGGATTTTTAATATCAGCAGTAAAGCCATAATTATTAAAACTATTGTTGACATTGTAGAAAATATTTTGTACAATAATGCGGAATCTGGTGAGAATATTCAAAGACACCTAAATGAATCAGATTTAGTTTTAAATAACAACCTCATTACTGTTAAACCAAATGCTGATTTTTCTATGAAGGAAAAACTTCATCTTTTTCTTTAAAAACAAACGAACAATAAAAGGATAACTGTTTTAAAAGAAAGTAACACAAAAGGTCTGAAAGAAGTTATAAAAAAAAAAAATTAGAATACTTTCGACAAGAAAATATACGAGGGAAATACGTTCAAATAGTTTTTGACTATTTGATGACCATTCGCCCAACAAGTGTTGAACTTGAAAGAGTATTTTCAGGATCTGGACTAATTTTTATTAAAATTAGATCTCAATTAGGAGACATGATATTGGATAGTTTAAGTTTTCTACGAAACTACTCTTTGAAAAATAATATTTTATAAAAGTTTATTGATTTATTAATATATAAAAGTTATCAGTAATTTACTGATTTACTGGTACTACAATTTTAGCAAATTACCAGTAAATCAAAAAGTCGGTAAATTTACAATCCCTACTTTGAAACGCATTTACAAGAAATTTAGTTTTTAGTAAAAAAAAATAATATTTAGGAACAAAAACCAAAAAAAAAAAAATTGCGATAAAAATAACCTAATTTTTTTTAAAGAATAAATTTAAATATTGAACAATATTTAGTAATATTGTTGACTAAATTTGAAAGTTAAGTTGAACCCTAGCATTAACTTTAATTCTATTAAAATTATATATTTTTTAAATAGAACTTTATTATATATATTTTTAATAAAAATTAAATTATATATATATTTTATCAGAATAAAATTATATATTTTTATTAAATTAGTTTTAAATTAAATCATACATTTTTTAAAAGAATTAAATATTGGCTTAACACTTGAAGTATTAGCAATAAAATAAAAACAAAAATAAAATAAAAATAAAATATCATAATATAAAACAAGATAATATAAAATAAAATTTAACTTTTTTTTATTATTATTAATTTATTTTTTATTATTAAATAAAAACACCATATTTGACATTAAAACTTTTGTAACAACTTTTTTTACATACATCATTCAAAAGTTAAAAAACGTTTTTTCATAAAATGAATAACTTTTTTTATTTTACTGCTTATTAACTAATTTAAAGTTAAATAATGATAAAAAGTTACTTGACCAAAATCACTTTAGACGTATATAAAATTTTTGTAATTGTCAACATTTTTGGTGTCAGGTCAGGAGTATGGTCTTCATGATCATCCTGCTACTGGTAACATGTAACCCAGTGCAACCTGTTCCATGTTCTGCTGCCTTGCAGGATTTGCTATCTAAGCAAAGGCTGGAAGGAGTGTTCTTCCTGTCATCAGTACTATCTTATATCAGTCATTTTATATAGTAATTTTTTTTTTTTTTTTTTTTTTTTTCCCATATAGTTGGAGGTGCCTTAGTTACTGTATTAGCTCACCTGTAATCTACGTTATATGTATGTTTGTGTTCTGTCTGAACCTCTGGCGCGGTGTTCGCTCACCCGTAAGTTACTTTATGTTCTTTATGTATGTCTGTGTTCTGTCTGAACCTCTGGCGCGGTGTTCGCTCACCCGTAAGTTACTTTATGTTTATGTTTATGTTTATGTTTATGTTTTTGATGTTTTTTTATGTATGTTTGTGTTCTGTCTGAACCTCTGGCGCGGTGTTCGCTCACCCGTAAGTTACTTTATGTTTATGTTTATGTTTTTTATGTTTTTTTTTATGTATGTTTGTGTTCTGTCTGAACCTCTGGCGCGGTGTTCGCTCACCCGTAAGTTACTTTATGTTTTTTATGTATGTTTGTGTTCTGTCTGAACCTCTGGCGCGGTGTTGACTCACCCGTAAGTTGATTTATGTTTGTTTGTGTTCTGTTTATACTCTAATGCAGCGTGAGCTCAGTAACTAACTACTTACTCCAACTAAAAAACGTACACTCACCTTAGACTCCTGTATTTTGTTAGATGCAGTGTTTTTCCTAATGCACTTCCAAAATGTCATGCCTGGTTTTCTAAAAGTACTGTTGCGAGAAGTAACTCCTTTTAACTACTCCAGGTCGGGTCAGGATAATCGAGATCAATCTTGCTACTGGTATCACGTAACCCAGTACCACCTGCCACAAGCCCTGCTGCCTTGCAGAGTATGCTCTTCTTATGCAAAGGCTAGGAGAAATAAACTCCGACTAAAAATTCCCCTGCCTTGGGGCTCTTGGTTGAGTAAAGGCTAGAGATGGTGTCTCGATAAAAACACTCATCTTGGGCAGATGTTAACTGCATCCAGCTAAACATCCCCTGCCTTGGGGCTCTTGGTTGAGTAAAGGCTAGAGATGGTGTCTCGATAAAAATACTCATCTTGGGCAGATGTTAACTGCATCCTGCTACTATCTTGTAGAAGGCCTCCTAGGCAAAGACTTTAGGGGTAAGCAGAAAAATTCTGCTAACCAGCCTCGAACCCCTTCTTCATCTATTAGGCTGGCGTAGATGTAACCTGTGTTACATTGTTTCCTGCCTAGGATGATGAATGCTGGATCTCCTTGACTCTACTCATAGAATTTTGCTTATGCCTCTGATAATGGCTATGCAACTCTTCCTGTTATCTCCATATGAGGGTACAGCTCTAAAACTCAGTTTAATGGTTCTGAGGCCGGCTGGTAGTAAGGTTTCCCGAACTCTGTGGTAGCTCTCAGAGAGGCT